CAGGAGACAGGAGGATACCTCCAACGACAAGAATCTCTGAATTAGTGGAGCATTTGTTATGTCCATTTGACTCCTCCCATAAAATCTGTGGCTGCCAGGATGATGGGAAAGGACTAAACGTGGGAGAGGATTATAAAATGTTTCACTGCGGGATGGATTTTATTTAATAATAAATAGGCTTTGTTCAAATGGGGCACTTTTGACCCGGGCAGATATTACTAAATTTACTACTGTGGTGTTTAGCTAAATGTAAAAATATCAGAAAGTACCCCCAGATGCTCAGAAACACAGCTGTCATTTTGTCTTCTTTATATGGTCCCAGAATCCTGACTGGCTACATCTACAGAAAAGTAGACCATGATGTCGGGACCATAAAGAAACAACACAGGCTTAAATACAACTGTTCAGTTTGTTTTGGATGAAGTGACCAGTATTTATGACATTAATCAGTCTGGAATTCTAGGGTGACATCATCTCTTCCAATATGCTGGCTCTGCTCTGGCCATCTGGGGTGCTCTCTTACTTTTCCTAGGGCCTTGAGCATGTGCTGTCCAGAGTACTTACACTTCTGTGCTGTGTTCTTCTGATTAGCTTGTCCATCTCCACTCCAGACCATCCGTACTTAGAAACCTTCATATAATCACTGCTTCACACCTTGCTCAACACAAAATGAGCACACAGGAAATATTCAGTGAATAAATGCTTGCCAAAAAAAATCAAAGAAATTTAAAAGTTATTTTTTAATTGATAAACTTCCTGTTCCAGTATGGCTGAGTAAACTCCAACTGGCTCGTCTTTCTACAGAAAACAACTGCAAACTCTGCACACACACACACACACACACACACACACACACACACACATACAAGAAATCTCCTAGGCCACTAGATTTCACTGGTGAACTCTATCAAACATTTAAGAAGAAATGACATCAATATCACACAAATTCTTTCAGGAAATAAAGGAGGAAGGAACATTTCCCAACTCATTTTATGAGGCCAGTACAACCTTAATGCTAAAACCTAAAGACATTACCAAAAAAGAAAAACAAACTCCATGAACTGATAAATTTTGTCCATGATCAGTATGCATTTGGCTATCCTCAAGTGTTTGACTTGTACAAATAGTGCTTCTAGCAAATTTATATAAAGTATTTCTTACTGATTTGTCAGAGAAGAAAAATTACCAATTTTAAGATTTGTATTTTAGGGCTTCCCTGGTGACGCAGTGGTTAAGAATCCACCTGCCAATGCGTGGCACACGGGTTCGAGCCCTGGTCTGGAAAGATCCCACATGCTGCAGAGCAACTAAGCCCATGCGCTACAACTACTGAGCCTGCGTTCTAGAGCCCATGCTCCACAATGAAAGAAGCCACTGCAATGAGAAGCCCACGTACCTCAACGAAGAGTAGCCCCTGCTCATTGCAACTAGAGAAAGCCCGTGCGCAGCAACGAAGACCCAACGCAGCCAAAAACAAACAAACAAATAAATTTATTTAAAAAACAAAAAAAAAGATTTGTATTTTAGTGTCCACCAGACGGGCCTGTATAATTTTGTGGAAATTAACTCCAAAATATAATGGAATTGGCCTCCTGTATCACCAATTTCAGTCCATCCAGATTTATCCATCAGTGGTTTGAAAATGGAAATAGATTATATAGCACAGGGAACTATACTCAATATTTTGTAATAACCTATAAGGGAAAAGAATCTAAAAAAGGATGTATGTATATCTGAATCACTTTGTTGTACACTTGAAACACAACAGTGTAAATTAACTGTACGTCAATTAAAAAAGAAACAGGCAAACCCCACCTCAAAAAAAAGAATCTAATTGGATCTCCTTGCCCCTTTTTGGAAAAACCTGTTCATCCCAGGCCAATTTGTAGGCCAGTTTCCTGGTCTAATTAATATATTTGATGGGACATTAATGGACAGGCTGTTCTTCAGTTGGGTGCACACCCCTAATCCAATCAGCTGTTGCTGGAGGTGGTCGGAAAGTAGGAAATATGGTGGCCGAGGGCTGGCTCATCAGCAGGGCCTGTGGGAGGGGAGGTTTTCCTTAGAAGGGGTCGTGGGCACAGCAGACACCATCATTGTTCAGCACGGTAGCTGTGGTGAGTCGTGGCAGCCTCCTTATCATATTTTCTACATAGTCTTCAAGAAAACAGTTCATGTCCTTATTAACCATGGCACGCCACCACAGTGGTCACTACTAGTAGAGCACTAGCCGCCAGTCTACATTTCTTCTTTCTGCGGCAGGTGTAGGATGATTCAATCGCTATCATCAGGGGTTCTTCCTCGCTTTTCTGAGGTATATGGAATACTGCTTCTTCCTCAAAAGGCACATAATTCACTTTCAACGAGGTCTGCACTCCACTTAGCAGGAAAGGTCTAGACGAGGCACAAGCAAAATGGTGATGCTTTGGGTTCTGAGATCCGGAGTGTGTCTTGCTAAGGGAAGATTTATGACGCTGAACCAAAGTCCTTAGAAAATGCCAAGGAAAAAGACTGAGAAAATCAAGTCCAGGTGGCAAGTCCAGAGGGCAGAACAGGGTCAAAAACAGGAGACAATCCAAGGATCAGGTATCGAGCAAAACTAGAACAGATGGAAGGTGATGTGAGCGCTGCTGAGTGTGCCTTTGCTTGCTTTTATGGATTCACCAGGTGGCGCAGGGTGGGTAGTGCTGGCCTAAGGGCACATGATTGAGGGGGACATTCAGGAAAAGTCTGTTCCTTCTCCATTTACCCCTGGTCTCCGGTCTCTGGAGAGTCATTCCAACTCCCCTCCATTACCTTGGAACTGTTTACTTCCTGCTGTGATTACTTCCTCCTGCCTACCTCAGACTCTCCAATTCCTCTAATAACCTGGAGCTCAGTGGGGCATAGTTTGAGCCCTTTAACCAGCTTGCTTTAAAGAATACAGCCCGGAAGGTGAATTTAGCATCTGCCTCGCGGGTTACTGAACCTGTTCCTTCAGCATGTGCACCCACTCCCGAGCCTGTTCATCTGCCAAGTAGAGGCAGCCGTTAACAAGGTCACTTGTTATCACCTCTCTGATTCGCTCCCAGGTCATCTTAGGAACTCACGCCCCATTCTTCCGGTTGGGTAATCCACATGGTAACAAGTGATATCTCCACACGTGCTGCATATACCACACGTGGCCTGAAAAAGACATACGCACAGCTCTATAGGCAAATACGATGCCACTGATAATTCCAAATAGGAGAAGGTGCCTTGATTGGCTCAACTGACCCCGAGGCCATTAAAACTTCATTGTTCCCGAGGAAAACTTTTTTAAGGTCAATCCACAGTTGCCCTGCTCACAAATGACCAAGTCTGAACCCGTACCTCCACCTGAGACAACTTTTCTTGTTACGCAACCCAGAATACCTGTGATGTCACTGACCCAAGGGCGATTTCTAAGGGTGGGGTGAGATTGAGGGCTTGGGGCTATTCCCAGAATCCCTATCTGGAATGCGTTTACAAATGGTGATCAGTCCAGGGTGCCTGAAATCTTATTAGCACTGCATGATGGGAGCACTGAAGCAAAATGGGCTTCTGTGGAGTGGCACGGGAGCCAAGCTCACTCTTTTAGGACAAACTATAATCTTATTCATAATTTTGGGGCTGTTCCTAGAATGTACATTCTATCTATTAAGATGCTTTGTAAAATAGAAGCCTATTGTTGATAAAGCATCAGCTATTACCTAAAACAAACTCTCACCTTTCAGAACCAATATTTTCTCCCTGAGAAAAAATTTTTTCTGCTGCTTCTGAGGGGTCCGTTATTGGTACTATTCCAACAGCCCTCAACTCTGAAATGTTTACACTAGCTAAACACACACAACTTACAAAGAACTGGCCACTTCGCCCGAAATTTCCACCTATTCACTTAATCAACTGCAACACTGAAGCAGGCATTACCTTGGTCAAGGCTATACTTCAATTCAAGAAGCATTTAACTGGGCTTCCCTGGTGGCGCAGTGCTTGAGAGTCCGCCTGCCGATGCAGGAGACGCGGGTTCGTGCCCAGTTTCGGGAAGATCCCACATGCCGCGGAGCGGCTGGGCCCGTGAGCCATGGCCACTGAGCCTGCGCGTCCGGAGCCTGTGCTCCGCAAATGGGAGAGGCCACAACAGTGAGAGGCCCGCATAACGCAAGAAAAAAAAAAAAAAAAAAAGAAGCATTTAACTGACTCAGGATCAAGGGAATTGTTTACTGAGTGCACAGTGTTTGTAACACATGGGACAGATTTAAACTGGACAGAGAAAAACCCCATCACCAAAGTGCTTCAGGTTTTACCACTGATCATAAAAAGGCAGGTAAAATCATTTCTGCCAGGAACTGATTGTGGTGACTTATCTCTTTATTAACATGAACAGAAATATCATCCAGCCCTCTAACACAGAGCATAGGGGTAGAGCGTTACCGCAGGAGTTTAGAACTTACGTCAACACAAGCCTTTCTCAACCAACCAAGCAGTATTTCCTGAGTACCTACAGCGGAGGAGATACAGGTACTAAGAGACGCGTTGACCTTTTGAATAAGCAATTTCAATAGTTTTTCTTATTCAGGTAACTCAGGATCCACAGTAACTCCATCTAATGAGCCACCAAAGGAACTGCAAGTTGAACTAAACTGATGTCCACCACAAAATCCTTTTTCTCTTGAACTCTATGAAGTCTCCTTTCTCTGTGCATCTAACTAAATAGCTATCTGTAAATAGAGTACACATAGCAACAATATACACCCACATATACTTTTCCACATCTGTTATCTTATTTAAAAGCAAGGGGTTTTGGAGTCAGAATTGAGTTCCATTTGTGACTGTCATAGTAAGTAAATGTGACCTTGGGTAAATCACTTAAGCTCTCTGGGTCTCAGTTTTCTCATCTCTAAAATGGGATTCATAATAGAAATTGGATAACTGTAAGGATTAAAGGAGCTAATATTAGCAAATTTCTTAGCACAGGGAGTACATAATCCATAAATCGTAGATTTAATTATTATCCTTTAATAATTGTCCCAACCTTTGTAAGTCTACCAGGCACTTATAATTATCTCTGTTGAACAGATGAGATTAAGTAATTTATCCAGGGTTCCACAATTCAGCAGTGGCAGCGCCAGGGTTTCTGATGCCAGGCCCCAAGACTCCCACCATCACCCCCAGTCAACCTTATAGACTTTTATAGAATGGGCTGCACTGTCCAGCACAAGAAGAGAATTTTCCTTGGTGAAGGTCAGTGCCACAGGATGGGAAAGACCGTGGGTGATGATGGGCTTCAGTACTGGAAACTCCTCAGGTTTTCCTAAGCACAGGACAGCCAGATTAGAAGTATCGGCAACAATCACGTTCCCCTGGTGATCAAAGGTCACAGCGGAGGCGGTTATTTTGGAGGGGAAAAAGAGGCTCAGCCCAAAGGCATCCACCTGGCCAATGAGCTGCATACTTGCGCTGAACACCTTCACCGTGGTGCTGCAGGCCCCGGTCCCCACGGCCAGGGGGTGCTCTAGGACCGCAATGGCCCCGGTGAGCCAGGACACCGCCACCCCCTGGGGATGGCACAGGTGAGTTTGCAACCGTTCAGTTCTCCGGAGGACCCCTTCTGGAAAGTCGACTTCCAGGAGGTGCAGGGACCCCGCCTCCGCATCAGTTACCATGACCCCATTCTGAGGGGTGGTCTCCACACCCCAAGGCAAGGAGAACTGGCCTCCGATGACAAGCTTGATCTGGCCAAAGAAGTCAAACACTTTGATCGAGCGGTCGCCGGCGTCGGTGACAACCACATGGCAGTCGTTGGTGACGGTGACGTCAAGTGGATACCTAATGTCCTGATCAGAGTCCCCCTTCTCTCCAAACTGATGCGCACATCCTCCCCCCGCGTCAAAGATCTTGACACGCCTCCTGCCGTCGTGCACCACCACAACCCGCCCCGTCTTAGGACACAACGCCAGCCCAGTGGGGTTGACCAGGGTCCCCCAGCCTCCGAAGGCGTGGTGGCAGGTGAGGACCCCGGGGGCGGAGGGGGCGGCGCGGGGAGCGGCTGGGGCCGGGCGCAGCGCGGAGCCCAGGAGCTCCAGGAGGTGCAGCACCGGCAGGCAGTCGCTGGTGTCGCAGCCCCTGCAGGCTCGCCGGCAGAAGGGGCACTCGAGGGCCAGCGTCCGCGGGTGCGCCAGGGCGGCCACGCAGGCCAGGCAGACCACGTGGCCGCAGGGCAGGTTGCGTGGGCGCCGCTGCTGGCGGTGGCCGAACCGCTCAAAGCACACCTTGCATTCGAGCAGGCTGGTCTCGGCCTCTCGCACCAGCTCCCGGAGCGCTGGCCCGCTCCCGGAGGCCTCGGCACCCATCGCGCGGCCTGAAGGACTCCCGCCGCGCCGGCAGCCTGCGGAGCTGTACGCTGCCCCCGCGCCGCCCAGGGTCACGGTCACGGGGCGGGGCGCTGGTCCTGACGTCTACGGCGGCCGGCCGCTCGGCCGAGACCTGCTGCCCCCTGGTGGGCACTGCATCCTGAGGGTCTGACAGTGAACACTGACAAGCTGTATCCACAGCGCGTGGTCAGACCTGTAATCTTCACAACAGTCACGGATGGATTATCTCCAATTTACACTTGAGGAAACATACATATTGAGGACAAGCGGGTTGCTCCCTGGTACCCAGCAGAGTGCCCTGCAGTTTCCCGTCGGCAGCGCTGGGTACTGGGGCCTGGGGCTGGCCAGGCATGAAACCTGGTCTCAGAGCTCACAATGCTTATGATCTGACTGGGAAAACACAGATGTCCAAGGGAAATTAAAATCCAAGGGGGTGAGGCAGGTGCACGTGCTTCTTTTGGGTCTTCTATCGCTCTCGGAGTACAGTAGATGCTTCATGACTACTTGTAAAATGAATTTATGTATGAATGAAGCAATGTTATAGGAAAATATATGCAATCCACTAGATGAATTTGTGTCAAGGCAGGGACTATGGCTGGGAATGTCTCCCAGAGAAATTAATATGAAAGAAGAAAGCTGTTAGTTAATAATAAACTTACTCCATGCCTGCCCTCTTTTAAGTGGTTTCCATAGGTTATATTATTTAAACCACATGACAGTCCTACTAGGTGTGTTACTTTCATCACCCATTTTCTACCATAGTGTTTGTAGAGGTTAAGTTTCTTATCCAGGGTCACATGACTAGGAAGTGGCCAGGCTGGGATTTGACTGCAGAGCCCACACTCTTAACTATACCAGTCTTTTCAAACTTGGTTGCACATGGTAAATACCTGGGTTTCATCCTCCAAAGATTCATTTGTCCAGGGTGTGGGCTGGGCAGCTGGGATTTTTTTTAAAGCTCCCTAGGGGTTTATCATGTGCAGCCAAGTTTGAGGACCACTGTGATATGACAGTCCCACACATGACAGCAGGTTAAATTCTTTCTACCTCAATCAATATGGAAAGCACAGAGAATCTACAATATGCTTAAAGATCCTCAAACAGGAGATAGCACAATCTCTCTCAGGAATCGCTGCGGTACTACAAGCAATCATTTTCAGCATTCTCCCCTCAGTGGATCACATGCACATTGTCTTTGACAAAACCACTTATCAGATCACTTCTCCTCATTTAGAGGTAATTACTGTGATCATTCACCCTCTTATTTGCTGGACTTCTGAGAAAACAAGGGACTTTTATCCCATTAAATCCCCTGGAGGAAGCTTTAATGTAAGACAAGAAAGAACATTTTCTTATGCAGTGTTACAAGATTCAAAGATTATCTGTGTATTGGGACACAGTAACCAACTTAATATTATAATTTCAGACTACAATACATTTTCATTCCAAATAGAAATTACTTTCTGAAGTCATCCTTAAGTCAAGAAAAACATTCAGGAAATCTAAATCCCATCTAAAAATGGAATATTTTTAGAATTAGTACTAAAAGATATATAATGAGAGCCATGTATAGAATATTAAATTTTCTAGTAGCCACATTTTAAAAAGGAAAAAGAAACTAATAAAATGAATTTAACTGCGTATTTTATTTCATCCAAAATATCCCAAATGATATCCTTATGACATGTAATCACTGTAAAAATTATTAGTGAGATATTTTACTTTATTTTATTTTATTTTTTTTAGTACTAAGTGAAGTCCAGTATGTATTTCAAACCCACAGCACATCCTAATTCAGTTCAGTAACCACATGCAGCTGGCAGTTACTGCAGGGAACAGTTAGAGATCTAGATCAAGTCTGTGATTAATTACCTTCTCAAGATGCTTTGCATACGGATTTCATTGATGCTTGATGTGCTTCTAACTTGCCTCTGCTCCAACATTGTTTTAAAACGAATCCAAAGACCCCCAACTCCTTGCTGACTGTGACGGAGCTTCTACCCCACCCCTCAGCGACGTCTTGCCAGGGAGTGTGATTCTCAGTAGAGAGGAGCTCTCCTTGGTGAGTAGCCTGCCTTCTTCTTCTTGATCCTGTGCTGTCCCCGTGCGGCAACCAGTAGTACTGCACCAAGAGGCTGGCGGTGTTTAGCGAGGTAAACCAGACAAATCTGCAATAAATACGACTTATTTAAGCATGTTCACAGTCATCGCTCTGCCACTTGGTAGTTAGCAAAGCGGTTCTGGAAAGCATTGTGGCACATACACTGACAATCCACCCTGACGATTTGCTGTCAAGACTCTAATTGGTAAATTTAAAGTATGGAAATGTAACTTTGTGGTGTTTGTTCAGAGTTAAAGCTTTCTCAGTGACACAAAGCTTCCGAAATAAACACAAGTAGGTTTGCGCCTTTCACAGTGAGGATCCCCACATTCTGGCTGGGCATCATTAGCAATCATTTTCTTCACTGTTTGCTGCCTCTCCATGGAGTTAAACACAAATTCTGTTCCAGCGTTCCTGTCAACCCAACCCACACCCTCCCTTCCCTTTTCACTTGTCCTTTTTCTATTTTACCAAGTGTAGAGTCCAGTTTCTCTTTTTATCCAATCTTAAAATTGCTCTTTATCTTCATCCTTTCTTTCTTTTTCTGAAGACAGAAACTAAGTTCTAGGAGAGCAGGAACCATATCCGCAGTGCCTAGCGCGTGCCTGGTACACAGCAGGAGTCAATACATGTTTTTTAAATGGGTGAACTAATGAATACTTAAAAGGATACTACTTACAGGCAGCAAACTCCAATGTTATACCTTTCCTTTGATGATTCTCTAGTATTTATAGGAAGTATTGTTAGGAAAATAGCACTTGCTTATCTCTAGAGTCAATGTTGAAAGGTTTCTCAAATACCTTATATAGTGCAATCCTCATCGCATATATATACTGATTAATAAAAGAAACGCCCTGGGGACTTCACTGGTGGCCCAGTGGTAAAGAATCTGCCTTCCAATGCAGGGGACGTGGGTTCGATCCCTGGTCAGGTAACAAAGATCCCACATGCCGCAAGGCAACTAAGCCCACGTGCCACAACTACTGAGCTCGTGTGCCTCAGCTGGATAGCCCGCGCGCCCTGGAGCCTGCGCGCCACAACTAGAGAAAAGAAAACCCGCACGCCACAACTAGAGAGAAGCCCACGCACCACAACGAAGATCCCGCGTGCCACAACTAAGACCCGTCACAGCCAAAAATAAATTAAAAAAAAAAAAAAAAGAAGCGATGCCCTGAGTCTTAACTCTAACATTCTGAGTTTCCTATGAAGAATCATCCCTCCTCCATGGCGAAGTCTCCATGGATTTCCTCTGTGCTTCCCTCCAATACTTCTTACTTACAGGGTCCTGGAATAGCATGACCATCTCTTCCTCCTTCCACCTAGAACAAGCCCTGAGGCCTGTGGAGGCAAAGGATTTGAAGAATACATCTTGTGGTCAGTGGCTGACTCCTGTGCAAAGGACCATGCGGCAGAGGGGAGGAAATGGAGACCCAGCTCAGGGTGGTTACAGCAGAGAGGAGGGGGCGGAGGGCGACAGGCTGTGGAGTCTGGGGGAGGGAGTTAGTGCTTAGGCACATGGACTGCCGGTTTTGCAAGTGTGGGAAGACATGCCACATGCATGCAGTTGAGAAGGAATCCCAGAACGAGTCCGATGACACAGTTACATCTCAGATTGTACCTGACAATGACGAGAGAAAGGAAGAGAGCAAGCCACATAGAAGCATCTCAGTCCGGAGGAAAGGTGCAACCTTTGAACAGAGAAGGAGCAGACTGTAGGCGCTTTAGCATGGGCTTGTGAGCTCACAGGAGCAAAAGCTTGCTACCATTACGAACCTGAATCCCTCCTGGGTTGGTGAGCTTTGAGTTTCAGGCAGCCTCCAGGCACCTCCTTAACAGGCAGATCTCCATCACCTGTGTGGTTCCTTGGCCCCAACCTGGGTTCTGGTCTCCAGCTTTGCTCTCCCCCAAGGGCACCTGGTCTTCCAGTACCCACTCTGACCACCTATCTAATTTCATAACTCATGCCCCACGTGCTTGGCTTCAGGGGTGAGGGATTTGGTGGGCAGGGGAAAGTGGTGCAGGCTCGAAGGTTTTGAGCACACACAGAAAAATGAGCTGGAGATGTATGGTTGAAAGTGAGAAGCTGGAGATTTCAAAGTTTCTGAAATTTTCATAAACACACAATGAAATAATTTTTATAATACACACCATCCTATTAACATGAGCTAAACAATCTAAATCATTTAAATATTAGGTAGTGCAGTAAGAAAGGAATGTCTGATTTATCAAAATGTGATTTTTAATGAAAAACTGAAAAGTTTTGAATCTAAACTTTCATAATGAACAGACATGAATCCAGCCCTAAGTACACTGCACTTCATAAGACTATCATTTAAACAAGACTAAATTATGAGAAACAAAAAACTGCCAAACAGAGAAAACAACTTTTTTTTTTTTTTTTTTTTGCTGTACGCGGGCCTCTCACTGCTGTGGCCTCTCCCATTGCAGAGCACAGGCTCCGGACGCGCAGGCTCAGCGGCCATGGCTCACGGGCCCAGCCGCTCCGTGGCATGTGGGATCCTCCCGGACCGGGGCACGAACCCGTGTCCCCTGCATCGGCAGGCAGACTCTCAACCACTGCGCCACCAGGGAAGCCCCAGAAAACAACTTTTAAAAATAATTTCTTTTTACAGTTTGGGAAAAATATTTTTTCCATATAGATTGGTTAATTTCATTAATTTAAAAGTTTATTTCTTCATTCTGTCACATATAAAATTATATAAGGAGAAAAAATGTGAAAAGGAGTGCTAGAATTGAGTACAATATGAGGGTTTATAGTAAAAATTAATGTTTATATAATGTCTTAGACCATTATCTTTTACCTTGGACCCCATTAAAGTGTTACATTTACTCAATGGTTCTAAATTTCATAAAGAATGCCAATGTTTCTGTCTATTATATTTAAGTTATATGCATTATATTTCTCTTTTATTCTTTAATTATACAAATAATACATGCTGATTGTAAAAAATTCTTGCAATCTGTAAGTAAGACACACAGGTATAATCTTTTGCCCCCCAATCACAGTCTTTTTTCCAAAGTACATGTTTTTTTTCCCTAAAAAGTTATAAGCATTTTTGAGCAAAGATCTATGATGTGATCTGTGAAGAATTTTTTTCCAAAAGTCATCTATTATATTTTTATGCCTTAGCACAATTTTCAGTTGCTCAAAAACATGTTGATATTACTTGCTTCTATTTACGTCTCATTTACTTTTCTATAAATAGATATAACTTTTCAATAATGTAGTCAATTCCCCAACTTTTATGTCGTTCTTCAAAAGCATCAACCTTCTCCAGACAATGAATATTGCACACTGAACCTGAAACAAAAAGAAAGTGTGACAAGTTAAAACTTTATGAAGAATGTAACTAGTTCTAAAAACATATCAGATGATTTTTAAAAGAGTGTGTACTGAAGATCTTTTCTTTCTTTTTAATGAACATGGGGAAATAAATATTAAGGGTAAATTTTCTGCACTCTGAATATACCATCTCTCTAGAAGAATTCAGATGTCTTTAACATAAGCATACCATTTAGCTAAAAAGTCCTATTACAGACATGGGTTCCTTTTTTGGATATAATAGTCTCCAATTAAATGGCTTCTGACTTTTAAATTTTATATACTTCTAGATATTAATAGTTTGCTAATAGCTCAAAACAGTTAACTGTTGACTTAATTTCAAAAGTTACAGCACATGTCTGTAACTTACCAAACAATGTTTTAATTTCAGCATCTGGAACGTAAAATGGTAGACCTAAGTAAAAGAGAAACATGGTGAAGAATAAATTCTAATAGATCTAATTGTAAAGAGAAATAAATTCTCAGGGCCCACTTCTCAGCTTATTTCCAATGACCTTGGTATACACATTCCATACATAACTCAATTATCCAAATAGGTGAGGATGTGACAGGTTCTTCTGCTTCTGCTTTTGCACATCTGATACCAAAGACTGGCTTACTGAGGGGACTGGTAATGTTAGATGCCCATCTCCAGCTTACATGAGATGGCTGAGTCAGCCTTGGAACTTGGGAACAGGAAAATCAGAGTGGAGTTCATGAACAAATTTCCTTGGGGCTTCCTGCTTCCAGGGTAGAGATTTTCTACCACTCCTGCACTTACCCTCATCCTACAAACTCTGCCCACTTTTCTGTGGGCCATTTACTTTAGAAGAAATAGCTTCTGCCCCTTCCTAGAAGGGAATTCTTAGCCTCCACCCAGACAAGGACTGTTCTGTCTTCTTCCTACAGGCCCTTCCTTAGGCCTACTGTTCAGGAAGGGAACTTACATCACATTCACAGAGCTGACATCTGTTTCCCTTATTTTCTATTTCCATCTGATTTTCCCAGACTTAATTATGGACACTAAGTCTCATCTTTTAATGAGTTTTTAAGATCTGACTTATTCAAACAGAAAAAAATACTAACACAGATATTTATAAAACAAAGCACTTTTTAAAAAAGACTCTATTAAAAATCAAATTGGGTATTTTTACAAATTAAAAGTGTATGTACTTCGTTTTCACTTCTTCCTGAAAAGCCACGACTTAAAGATCAGGCTTTGCAACAAAAAGAATAAAATACCTAGGACTAAACCTACCTAAGGAGACAAAAGACCTGTATGCAGAAAATTATAAGACACTGATGAAAGAAATTAAAGATGATACAAATAGATGGAGAGATATACCATGTTCTTGGATTGGAAGAATCAACATTGTGAAAATGACTCTACTACCCAAAGCAATCTACAGATTCAATGCAATCCCTATCAAACTACCACTGGCATTTTTCACAGAACTAGAACAAAAAATTTCACAATTTGTATGGAAACACAAAAGACCCCGAATAGCCAAAACAATCTTGAGAAAGAAAAACGGAGCTGGAGGAATCAGGCTCCCTGACTTCAGACTATACTACAAAGCTACAGTAATCAAGACAGTATGGTACTGGCACAAAAACAGAAAGATAGATCAATGGAACAGGATAGAAAGCCCAGAGATAAACCCAGGCACATATGGTCACATTACTTTTGATAAAGGAAGCAAGAATATACAATGGAGAAAAGACAGCCTCTTCAATAAGTGGTGCTGGGAAAACTGGACAGCTACAGGTAAAAGAATGAAATTAGAACACTCCCTAACACCATACACAAGAATAAACTCAAAATGGATTAAAGACCTAAATGTAAGGCCAGACACTATAAAACTCTTAGAGGAAAACATAGGCAGAACACTCTATGACATAAATCACAGCAAGATCCTTTTTGACCCACCTCCTAGAGAAATGGAAATAAAAACAAAAATCAACAAATGGGACCTAATGAAACTTAAAAGCTTTTGCACAGGAAAGGAAACAATAAACAAGACGAAAAGACAACCCTCAGTACGGGAGAAAGTATTTGCAAATGAAGCAACTGACAAAGGATTAATCTCCAAAATTTACAAGCAGCTCAGGCAGCTCAATATCAAAAAAACAAACAACTCAATCCAAAAATGGACAGAAGACCTAAGTAGACATTTCTCCAAAGAAGATATACAGATTCCCAACAAACACATGAAAGAATGCTCCACATCATTAATCATTAGAGAAATGCAAGTCAAAACCACAATGAGATATCATCTCACACCAGTCAGAATGAATGGCCATCATCAAAAAATCTACAAAGAATAAATGCTAGAGAGGGTATGGAGAAAAGGGAACCCTCCTGCACTGTTGGTAGGAATGTAAATTGATACAGCCACTATGGAGAACAGTATGGAGGTTCCTGATAAAACTAAAAATAGAACTACCATACGACCCAGCAATCCTACTACTGGGCATATACCCTGAGAAAACCATAATTCAAAAAGAGTCATGTACCACAATGTTCATTGCAGGTCTATTTACAATAGCTAGGACATGGAAGCAACCTAAGTGTCCATTGACAGATGAATGGATAAAGAAGATGTGGCACATATATACAATGGAATATTACTCAGCCATAAAAAGAGACGAAATTGAGTTATCTGTAGTGAGATGGATGGACCTAGAGACTGTCATACAGAGTGAAGTAAGTCAGAAAGAGAAAAACAAATACCATGTGCTAACACATATGTATGGAATCTAAAAAAAAATGGTTCTGAAGACAGGAATAAAGATGCAGACATAGAGAATGTACTTGAAAACACAGCAAGGGGGAAGGGTAAGCTGGGACAAGGTGAGAGAGTGGCATGGACACATATACACTACCAAATGTAAAATAGATAGCTAGTGGGTAGCAGCCGCATAGCTCAGGGAGATCAGCTCGGTGCTTTGTGTCCACCTAGAGGGGTGGGATAGGGAGGGTGGGAGGGAGACGCAAGAGGGAGGAGATATGGGGATATATGTATATGTATAGCTGATGCACTTTGTTATAAAGCAGAAACTAATTGTATAATTAGTAAAGCAATTAATTGTAAAGCAATTATACTCCAATAAAGATGTTAAAAAAAAAAGGTCAGGCTTTAATGTTCAAACACATTTAAATGAATCCAGAAGAAAACATCCCTTTTACACATTCAAAACAAATACAGTTATTTTTAAAATGCAATAAATTATAAAGTTCCAGAAATTAAAAACAGCAATAGTTTAGAGATTTTCCTGCACACCCCTACCTCCCCACGTCCACGTCTCACCGCATCCTCCTATGAGGATTTATTTGTAGGCATCAGCCCAATACATCCCATCCCCACCACCATGGATGACACAGACTGCATGTATATCAGCAGTATGCCTCACAGGAGAAAATAATGCTATCCAAGTCATAGAATTAAATCACGAAACAAGGCAACTGGAAAAAGAACAAGAAACTTTACCTGCATATTTAGTTGGATCGTAAGAAAAAACAGACAAGAGGTACTGAAACCCAGTTCTTGTTAGGGACAACATTATATCTGCATAGCTGAAAAGAACATTAAAAGGCATGTGTTACATTTCTTTACAAAGAACGAGAAGCAGGGAGGGAAGCCAGCTTTTCCTTTCATCTCTATTACTGAGTTTAACTCTCCTAAAAAATCACATGAAGTAGATTCTCATTCTAAAAAGCTAGAAATGGGCTCAGCAAATGATGTTACCTGCCTAAGCTGGGAAATAGCAAAGGATGGGAATCCAAAGGAGGCCTGGCTCTGGAGCCCATCAGACCAGAAGATGTCAAATTAAGCAGAACAGAGGCTCCTTCCAATGTGATGTGGTCCCCGGAGGCCCATCAGCTTTGAACATATATTTCCCGAAGCACTGCCAGCTTTGGGGCAGTGGTTCCCAGACCAGGCTGGTATCAAGATTACCTGGGCACCTGCTGGAAGAAGAGGTGCTCGAGCTTCATTCATCCCAAGACTGAGTCAGTAGGTTTGCTGTGGGGCCTGGGATGCTGCAGCTTAACAAATATCCTGGATGATGGGGTCATCACCGGGGGCACGGGTAAGAGGTACAAAACACATTCCCTTTCCTCTCTTTAGTTGGCGAGAGATAAGACTAATAAACAAGCCAAAATTCAAGGTACTATGACATTACAGTTCTGCACGGGTGGCATAAGCCCTGAGTGCTACGGCAACTATCCTTTGGAGTAGGTGTCCTGAGGAGCAGGTGACGCCACTTCCCAGCCGTGTCTGATGGGTTCAGAGTGGGGACCTGCCCTAACAGGGCCCATCAGCAGACAGACCAGGAGCCAGACCTGGGTCTGATACAGAATGACGAGTTGGACCAATCAGATGACTCCGCTGGGAAACTGAGTTAAGAGATCCAAAGAGGAGCTGCTAGTTCACTGTGGTCATTGGACCAAACGCTGGAGTTTCTGTGCTGAGTGGAGGTTGGAGCAGAGGAAGCTGAGTGCTGAGGTAGGAGGGCAGAGGAGGCACGCACAGGGAGGTAAGAGGCCATGAGAGACAGACAGACAGACAGAGGTGGAGGAGCTGCACAGCTCTGAGTGAGGAGCCTTGGCTCTTTCCACGGGGCCCGGCTGTGCTGCCATACCTGTACAGAGCCCTGGGAGAAATCAGGGAGGCTGTCCTGCATGGGGGTTAGGAGTACAGACTCTGCAAGGTCCCTGAGCTCAAAGTCCAGCCCCTCCACTTACGGGCTATGTAAGCTTGACAAAGTCTTAACCCCTCTGTGCCTCAGTTTTCTCATCTGTAAAATGGGGATAAAACTAGTAACCAACTCACAGGTGGTTGTGAGAATTCAATGAGTGCACACACATAAAGTGCTTAGAACACTGCCTGGTACATGGTAAATGCTCAGGTCAGTAGCTTATTCCATTAGCGTCCTCAACATAAACTCCCTTAAAACTTGAGCTGGCTTGAGCTGGTCACTCTTCCTTGCAAGTGAAAGAACCAGACCTAAGCAAACTTCTGAGCAGAAACCTTTACTTGATCTTGAAAAACTTCAGCTACATAACATTTATTGTTAAAAATTTGGAAAATGCACAAAACCAGAAAGAACAAAATAAAAATTATCCACAATCTCATATCTTTGCTTTGGACCTTTATTTTTTATTTTTATTTTTTGCTGTACGCGGGCCTCTCACTACTGTGGCCTCTCCCGTTGCGGAGCACAGGCTCCAGACGCGCAGGCCCAGCGGCCATGGCTCACGGGCCCAGCCGCTCCGCGGCACGCGGGATCTTCCCGGACCGGGGCACGATCCTGTGTCCCCTGCCTCGGCAGTCGGACTCTGAACCACTGCGCCACCAGGGAAGCCCTAGATTCTTGTTCTTAAGAAAGGAGGGACTTGCTGTCCCGATGAAGTGATCAGTCAGACAGGTTTGGCAGGGTTTCAGAGGACTCACAGGCATCCTTCCTCCTGGAATGCGGACTTTCTCTGTCAACCAGCCTCAAAAAATTCAGAAAAATGAGAGGTATGATTGATGGTAGGCAAAAAACCTGAGAGTCACAGCAGAAACCACATCAGTTCTCGCCCATGTGTAATCTCAGCAGGAGACACCCCGTACTGATGGCAGGACTGGGAAAAAGCACTAAGTACCATAAATGCTAAGATAAAGTCATTTATCTTCCTAATGGCTCAAAATAAGCAATTATTCCAGAAACAAAGGCCAAGGCATTCTTGGGGCTGTGACAAGACACACACACACACACAGACACACACACACACAAACACACACACACACACACACACACACACACACACACACACACACACACACACACACACACACGGGCCTGGAAGGGGAGGAAAGAGAATAGGGGGAACCAGGAAGACAGAGTCTGTGACCAAACTAAAACTAGATTCTCCAAGAGCTCTGGAGGGGCCTCATGACTCTTTCTTACCATGAACTAAACAGTTCAGAGGCCACTTGGATGGCCTTTATTTCTAGGACAGAGGAGGCGATGGTGGCTGGTGGGAAACAGTATATTTTCCTTGCTTTAAGTCAGGTTTGTTTTCACTCATTTACTCAACAAATATTTATTAAGCTCCTACTATGTGCTAAAATTTTATATACATATATATATATATTTATTATTATGCCAGATTATATCATTATCTATAAAAATTAAGCCAGATTGTGGAGAGATAACTGAACACAAGGTGCACAGTCTGTAGAGTGAGCTTTGTGATTTCGGGTTTGCTCCCCACCGCCTTGGGGATCTGAGCGACGCAACCAAAGCCTGCAGAGAGACTAACCTTGAGGAAGAGGGTGGACAACCTTAGGAAGCGAGGAACACCTACGATCTTAGAGACTCAGCAGAACTGAGTTTAGTGTATAAATATGGTGTTTTATGGAGACGCAGAAGCCACAGGTGATACTTTTGAGTTGATGACGGACACTGATGTCACATGGGAAATGCCGAGCAGACACTGGATATGGGATGTGGGTGTTTAGGAGAAAGGACAGAGCTGGAAATACAGAAACAATAAGGGCCAATACCATGCGCAACTTGTTCAGTTATTTCCCCAACATCATGTGTATTTAGACATAGTAGGAGCTTAATATGTATTTGTTGAATACCAGAACGAAAGTAATAGGAGAACTGAAGCAATCTTTGAAGGAGCAAGTATAGGAGAGAGGATGGCACAGCCGTGCTGAGGATGGTCCCTCTGGGAATGATGACTTCTAGGCATGTGAGGAAGGTGAGGGTCCCAGAGAAGAGAGAAAGGAGGAACAGTGTCAGAAAGAAAAGGGGAAAAGGAGTGTGAATTATCACCAGAGGAAAATATATATTAAGAGGATGTGGGATTCCTCTGGTGATGCAGTGGTTAAGAATCCGCCTGCCAATGCAGGGGACACGGGTTCGAGCCCTGGTCCGGGAAGATCCCACATGCCACGGAGCAACTAAGCCCATGCACCACAACTACTGAGCCTGAGCTCTAGAGCCCGTGCACCATAACAAGAGAAGCCACCGCAAGGAGAAGCCCGCGCACCACAACAAAGAGTAGCCCCCGCTCGCCACAACTAGAGAAAGCCCTTGTGCAGCAACGAAGACCCAGTGCAGCTAAAAATAAATAAAATTAAATCTTTAAAATAAAAAAAAAGAGGATGTGGCAATGTCTAATTAAAATAAGATTAGGTTTGGCAACAAGCCTTACCCACCAAACAATTCTTTTTTTTTTTTGGCCCGCGTGCAGCATGCGGGATCCTAGTTCCCCAACCAGGTATTGAACCCCCTGTGCCCCCCGCCATAGAAGCTCGGAGTCTTAACCACTGGACTGCCAGGGAAGTCCCAAACGATTCATTTTTAAAAAGAGAAATTTCATTTCGCTGATATGTTGAGTCTGCCTCCATACAACTAAGTAATTCAGTATTTATGTGTTACATAAATATCTGTGAATGATACTTGGGTTGGAAAGTACACAGGAGGGGGTCACATTTTACTCAGTATACTTTTGCATATTTTAATTTTATTTTCTAATAAGACCAGATACAAAAGAATGGTCACCCAAAATATCTAGACCAAAAGCTCTAATACAATAGCAGCTAATATTTAAACAGTCATTTAGGGTCAACACTTGTTGTTGTCACATGTGTACTTGTTACCCGTGTTATTTCTTTCCATTCCCACAACAGCCATGTGAGGGGGCCTAGTCATGGGCGTGACTTTAAAGCCAAAGTCCTTGGGTTTTAATCTCAATTCTGTCACGTACTTGCTGCCGCACTTTGGACAAGTAACTTAACCTCTTTGACCTTAGTTTCCTCATCTGTAAAATGGGAATAATGATAGCGTAATACCTCACAGGGTTGCTTGGTGGATAAATTGTGTTGTTTCACATAAGGTATTTTAAGAAAGCCTGGCACATGGCAAGGAGTGAACAAGTATTACCTGGTACTCTCAGTGGAGGTGGTGAGGGTGGTATTAGTAGGAAAATTACAGTTTTGCAGAGGAGTAAACTAAGGTGTAGAGAAGTTGAATTCTTTGACCAGGGCAATACAGCTTAGAAATGACAGAGCCACAAGCCTTGCACCCATGTCCCCGTGGCCAAATCCTATACTTTTTAGACCAAGATGCTATTGGATATAGGTCTTCTAATTCCAAATACAATAAGCTATTTCAAACTAGTAGAAGTCTAGTCATCTTCTGGAAACCAGAAAAAGTACAATATAGTAAATTAAGGAGGCTAAAAAAGGGGGAAAAAACAACATAATTAAAGGAGCCAAATCACTAACCGTTTGCGATCACCTGGATTAATAGCGACTAATGCTCCTCTATCCCAAATTCTGTCAAATTTGCCAATATTTGCTCTACCAGAAAGAAAAAGATAAAAAAATTTATGTAAGAAAAATAAAATCTTTAACAAGACAGTGTTCCCCATGGCACATGTCAGAACCTCACCAGCTGTTAAGGAACTGGGATCTCACATCTGCTTTTCCTCAGAGTCTCTAGGGATGTGCTGGTGTGTGTGTGTAGCTGTCCATCTCCTCCTAGATCTAGGAGCTGGTGGCAGTAGCTTGGACTTGGGGGCACAAAGGAGGAACAAGGGACAGTTTGAGACAACTCTCCGCCCAGCCCCTGGAACAGGTATCAGGGACTTTTAGGAGATGAGCTCTCACCTCCGTCCACACCCTGAAATGCATTTCTGTTACAGACACTGGTGTGAAGTGGAAGACACTTTCTTGCTCTCCCCTCCTTTTCCCTACCTTCCTAGGGTCATAATAATTTTTCCAGAGCCTAGCAGCTACCTAAGGGCAAAGATATCAAGTGTGCAGACATACAGGCTGCAGTTAAAAATAACTGCAGAACAGAGACTCAAATCAATGCTTCATGGGTGCTACTGCAAGGGAATGGGAGTGATAAAAAGACCCTCAGCCCACCCCAGCATTGCCTAGCGAACACTCAAGTTTTTTAAAGTGCAGAGGTAGACATCAGTCCTACCTGGGAAGATCAAAAAGACTGCAACAGTACAATGAGATGTTCCCTGAAGAACTCTGCAATGAAAAAGTCAAGAAAAAACATTCCACTTAATTAGGAGGTACTTGAATGGTCAAGGGAAAAAAAAAGAGGGCCAAAGCAGCGCATGGGTGGTAGAGAAAGAATGTGTAATTAAACATAAAGAACATAATTTCACGGCAAACAATTTTTTTAGACATCTTACTTTAAATTTTTATTTTGGGGGGGGACTTCCCTGGTGGTCCAGTGGCTAAGACTCTGCGCTCCCAGTGAAGAGGGCCCGGGTTCGATCCCTGGTCAGGGAACTAGATCCCACATGCCGCAACTAAGAGTTCACGTGCTGCAACTAAAGATCCTGCATGCCGCAACTAAGACCTGACGCAGCCAAATAAATAAATAACATTATTTTTAAAAAATACTAATCTATAAAAAATATAAATTTTTATTTTTTTAATTTTGAAATAAATATGGACCATGCTGCAGAGAATTTATAGAATAAAGAAAAAACCTGCATGCCACCCTCTGGACACAATGATTTTAATCATTTTGGTGAATTCCTCTCCATCTTCCCCCCTCATTTCCTGCACCTTGCAACCTATGCAAATATTTTTTTAACTGAAAATAAAATACAATTTTACTGAAAATAATTTTTAATGGGACTTTTTAAAATTAAAAACCTATATGGGGTTCTTTTGGATCAACTCAAAAAGGAAAATCAGATTGGTTAATCCTGAAGATCAGTTAACTATTACTCATTTTGGAGCTTGTTATATTTTAGCAATGTTTACTTTAGCAAAATCCTAATATTTTGACCCCCTAATGACAAGTATACACATCAATCAATTACCAGGCAGACTGAGAGAGAAAGGACAGACATTTTAAAAGTTACTCATGAAGGGCTTCCCTGGTGGCACAGTGGTTGAGAATCCACCTGCCGAAGGAGGGGACGCGGGTTTGTGCCCCAGTCTGGGAAGATCCCACATGCCGCGGAGCGGCTGGGCCCGTGAGCCATGGCCGCTAAGCCGGCGCGTCTGGAGCCTGTGCTCCGCAACGGGAGAGCCCACAACAGTGAGAGGCCCGCGTACCGCAAAAAAAACCCAAAAAACAAGTTACTCATGAAAAGTGCAGTTGTATTGACTCCCCAGTGTCCTCTCTTTCATTCACTGACCGATGAACATTTATTTCCTGAGCACCTTGTAGACAGGACTAGGCCAAGTTCTAGATACTGCAGTGAATTTGACAGTCTCTGACCCCAGTGAGGACAGCCTGGTGGAGCAGAGAGGTGTGGAAACAAAGAACCATCATGGTACAGAATGGGCTGTACTGTTCTGGTTGTGTGCCCTGAACTGTGGGAACAGAGTAGACGGAGCAGGGAACTCACTGCCCGAGCACCAGGAAAGGCAGAACAAAAGGTGGCCGAAGAACTGGCTGGGTGCATCTGCTGACATCACGGGTGTGGGAGGTGAGAAGTCTGGGAGGTGGGGGGAGGAGCAGGGTAGGAGATGTACTTCAGGATGTGAAAATGTTGTATTTTATTCTGAAATAAGGTGCAACAGAGGTGGATGGGTCTTTGAAGACCAGTCTGGAAGCACAGTGGGGGTCAGCCCTGAGAGGAAGGGGCCTGGAGGCAGGGAGAACAGCCCGTGAACCTTAACCTTGGCTGCAGACTGGAATCACCTAGGAGCTTTAAATAGACCTGATGCCAGGCCCCATCTCTAGAGGTTCTGACTGAATTAGCTGGAGGCCAGGCCTTGGCACTAGGAAGTTTTAAAGATCCACAGATAATTTCAAATGTGCCACCAGGGCTAAGAACCACTTCCTCCAAGGAGTCTGGAAGAGGACTAGCCTCTCCGGACTGAGCAAACAGCAATTCTTAGATGATCTCAGAATGGAGTGGGAGGAAGCTGTAAAATAAAGTCCTATCAAGTTTCCTAGTGACCTGGGCAATTAATTTCAATATTTAGAAAAGAGAGTGCTTTGCGAGAGACCAAATGTACAGACGGATGGTGGCCAGACCACATCTGGTAATAGCTTGGACCCATAACCTCTGCACCAACTAGCCAGGGAAGCCTAACCACAGCCTTGCAGGACATGGTCAATGACTGCCAGCCTCCCTGATTTTTACGCCTCCCCTCCACCCCTACGCCTCTCTTCTAGCTCAAAATCAAATACGTTTCCCAAACCAATCACAAGGGATGCCGCTTCTAGTTAGCCAACAGCGCCAGAAGCCTTCGCCTTTTTCTCTAGAAAGCTTTCCTAGCCCCCTGCCAGGCTTTGAGCCTCTGACAAATCCAATTGGCAACTCCCTCTGAATTGACAGCCTCTGCTTGTTCTCATTTGGGTGGTCTCTGTTTATTTCCACATTATTACCCCAAGCTAGCAAAGCAGTTCCACTGGATCATTCTGGTCACAGGAGGAGGACAACTCCCAAATCTATCATTTCCAGCCCAAATGCTTGGCGCATGCTTCAGAGACGTTTGCCGGTTATCCCTTCATCGTGCCACAGGTCTTTTAAACTCACCTCCAGGACAAAACTCATTTTCTCTGCCCTTCGACCTGCTTCTCCTTGATTCTCTGCTATCCAACCAGTCATCTGAGCTGGAAATGTGAACTCACCACCCCCTGGATTCCCAGTCAATTAATCACTAAATCCTCCCAGTTTGACACCCTAAACATCATTTTAATCGATCTGTTCCTCTAAGTGCCCCATCACTCTCCCGGTGCAGCCATTCAGGATCTCTTTCCTGGACCACTGCTCACAACCTCCTATCTGGTCTCTCTGCCAGAAGGCTACTGCCGTTCAAGCTCACTTCCCTTGAGGCCACAAGGGTGGTCAGTCACAAAAGAAAATCTGGCTGTGTCACGTTCAGGTACCAGCTTTACAGGACATCTGGATTGGATGACCTGACTCTCTGCCTGTCCTAGCCCTATCTGTCACCACACTTCAGGAAGCTCCCCCAGGCTGGGTTAGGAAACATTCCTCTCTGTTCCCTTAATACCCCGTGTCATTACACTTCGCTCCATGTATGACAAACAGCCTCCTCTGTTTCTCTTCTCTGCTAAGCTAAGCGATTCTTTAGGGCGGGGACTGTGTTTTCATCTCTTCAGTGTCTTATGCAAGGTGTGGCACAAGACAGGTTCTCAGAAACACCTGTTTATAAATTAAAAATCAAACAAACCCAAACCAAAAACATGACAAATAAGCTTTGACCTTAGCTTTTATATATATTTGTTCACACCTAGCTACTGTCTATCTTTTTATGCTCCTTACACTATAATATCCAGGTGAATCTGGTGATAAAGTGGGGTCATCTGACACTTGTATAGTATCCTCACTTACTCATGCTGAGAAAAACCTTCTTCTGGGGGTATGGAAATAACTATTTACCAAAATCAAAACATACCTTGAATACTTTGGCTCCAGGAATTTCCATAATTTGTTCTTCTGAGTAAGAAAGATTCTGCTCCGTAAAAAATTCCCGTATCCCAAGTTCACTGATTTCCACACCAACTACACTGTGTCCTCGGTCTGCAAACCTGCATAAAATCATATAATTACACTTAAGTTTTTATCTCAAATACAGTACTAAGTAAAAGGATATGTACCAATAAGCATACATTTTCCTTAATTTTAAGGGATTTATTTGAATTCAGACTCATAACGTTTCACAGAACATGTAGATACACAGAAAGTGGATCTATATATTCTCAAACCTTATGCTATGTGGAATTCTGAAAAAATGATTTATATGACCTTAGGAAAAATTTAAAAGTTTGGAAAATTATACCTTAACATGTTGATTTACTACAAATGGATTTGATTGGAAGAGTTTCTGATTTAAAAGCATCCTATGAATTAGATATGCTTTTCAAGTTCTCTAAATCAGCTCTGTCCATTAAAACTTTCAGTGATGATGGAAAAATCTATACCTGTATTGTCCAATCCAGCAGCCACTAACCACATAGGCTATTGAGCCCTTGAGACGTGGCTTGTGTGACTTAGTTTAAACAGCCACATGGGGCTGGTAGATACCGTACTGGAGCACTCGGCTCTAGAACATTATCATCCGTTTCTATAACAGTCTTATAATTTCCACTTACACTAAACCCTATCCAGAAATTTATTTGATTACCATACGCAAAAGCTTACCAGTATTTTTCTGGTAAGCTTTATAATTACAGAATTCAGTCTTGGGATCTTGGACTTCAAAGAAAACAGCACTAGTGGCACAAATACCCAGGTACAGTATTGATTTTATGTTACATTAAATAAACACATAAGTCAGTTATGCAACATATGCATTTTTTTTTTTTTTTTTTTTTTTTTTTTTGCGGTACGCGGGCCTCTCACTGCCGTGGCCTCTCCCGTTGCAGAGCACAAGCTCCGGACGCGCAGGCTCAGCAGCCATGGCTCACGGGCCCAGCCGCTCCGCGGCATGTGGGATCTTCCCAGACCGGGGCACGAACCCGTGTTCCCTGCATTGGCAGGTGGACTCTCAACCACTGCACCACCAGGGAAGCCCAACATATGCATTTTTTAAAATCACACACCATGCAAAATCATGCAGTAAAAATCATGAGGCTTATGGGGAAAATGGGGGTTGGAGTACACATTAAACAACTTTGTCCTAATGGAGTATATTCAGCCATAAACAATTGAAATCTTGCCATTTATGGCAACATGGATGAACTCTGAGGGCATTATGCTAAGTGAAATGAGTCAGACACAGACAAACAGCTTATAATCTCACTTATATGTGGAATCAAAAGAAAACAAAAACCAGAAACAAGCTCATAGATACAGAGACCAGATTGGTAGTTGCCAGAGGCTGGGGGTGAGCAATGGGTAAAATGGGTGAAGGAAGTCAAAAGGTACAAATTTTCACTTATAAAATAAATAAGTCATGGGGATGTAATATACAACATGGTAACTATAGTTAGTAGCATTGTATTGCATATTTGAAAGTTGCTAAGAGAGTAGATTTTAAATGTTCTTATCACACACAACACTATGTAGTTCTGTAACTATGTATCGATTAACTAGATTTATTGGGATGATCATTTCACAATATATGTATATACAAATATCAAATCATTACATTGTACACCTAAAACTAACATAATGTTGTATGTCAATTATACCTTAATTTTTAAAAAGGTTTTTTTTAAAGAAAAAGCTGCTGCACATTTGCCACAACTCATCTCTGTGAATCAGGATTTTCTCAATAATGTGCAATTAAACAGTATTTAGAAATAAAATGGATTAAATAGTACTTAAGAAAAAAAAAATTTAGTGCCACATTAAAAAGAAAAAAGACAAGAACCTAATAGACATGGTGGCACAGTTTTACATGTTAAATGGTTACAAAATATATAAATACTACAACATGGCACTTTACCTTGAGAGAGACCTGAAGTTTACTTGTAGACTTGTAAGCGTTGGAAGGGCTTCAGCTTTCAAGTTATTGTAAAGTAGTGGCAGGGGGATTATTGGCAGCCACGGAAAGTTCCAACACTGGCTGTGGATGGGAGCAAGTGGCTCACAGCACACCGAGGTGAACTGAGGTATCTGGGAGATAGGTGAGGTTTGTGCATGGGTGCATTTTGTCTATTTATACATGGTTTAGTAGAGCTGGGTGTTGTTACCTGCTTTCACCTCATGTTTCTTGCAGACAAAAATTACATATAAGCAGATGTGAAATTCAAACCATGCTCAAATTGTTCCTTAATGTATCAGTGGAGTTAGAATGCAATTAGCTTCAAAACAA